GGAGTAATCGCTTAACATATACACAAAAAAACAACATAATTATAGACAAATTGGAAACATCCTCTATTTCTGGAAAGTCAATTAAAAAGTAAGATTGATAACACATAACTACTTCTTGATATTAATAAACGTTCACCCATTTTTTTATAACAATGATGATTAAGTGTGGGGGAGCCATACTTCGGCACGAATGGGCCGGTTCGACCGGAGTGATACCATGGCCTCACAGAAAACCGACGTGAAGCAACGCTTGCGTTGTGTTTCGTCGTGTGAGTGAGGTTACCGGAGGCCCAATTACCCTTCCTTTCCCCAATCTCCCCAATTCTTGACCCCTAATGATCCTTAAACCCCTAATCCCCAAAAGGTCAGTAACGTTCTTGTAATGCCTTTGGTGTTCTTGGTAGCCATGGGCGACGCTGATTGCTTACCATCAGGTGATCCGTCTGCTCGTTTACCGGCTTATGCCATAAAAAAAAGAGTTTTTGCTCGTTCTTCTCCATACGAATCTACATTTTGGAACGAGCACTTAGCTTCACTGACGGATAAATTGAACGACAATTCATTGTTGACGTTTAAAGTGTGCCTGTTTAAGGATCGATTGGAATAGATGCTTCGACTTTACTCAGTTCATAATCGAGACATATTAAACAATTAGATAAAAATGGTCATAACTAAAAAGCAAAAAATATCTATTGTTAGTCACACGTACTTATAGATTACCCACCCACTGATAGGTGAGAAGTCGGTGCCACAAGTTTTATAAAAAAGTTATTCTCAAATCTTATACTATTATATAAAGCGGAAGTTTGTTTTTTTGTTTGTTTGTTTGTTTGAACGCGCTAATCTCCGTAACTACAAGTCTGGTTTGAATAATTCTTTTTGTATTGGATAGCGTATTTATCAAAGATGGTTATAGGCTATAAAACATCACGCTACGACCAATAGGAGCTGAGCAGAGCGTGTGAAACCGCGCGGAAGTAGCTAGTACCTTATTTATATTACCTAAGCTATGTACATATAACACACAAAAAAAAACATACAGCCGAGTTAAGTAAAATCGCGGGTTACTCACGTGAATATACTGAGAAAAGCTCTACTAGTTTCGAACTACAGAGGGGTTCTTCCTCATGAGCAGCGTGCGCAGTCGCGGCGGTGTCACGCAGCTCACTCTTTTGTTTGTTGTGTTCGAAACTAGTAGAGCTTTTCTCAGTATATTCACGTGAGAAACCCGCGTTTTTACTTAATTTAGTATGTCTCACGATAGTTATTATAAAAACATACGGCCGAGTTGATAACCGCCTCGTTTTTGGGAACTCGGTTAAAAATTGTCACCAAAATACATATACAGTACAGTCATAACTCCCGAAGTACTGCACCAAAATTGGGTAATTTTTTTCTTGTCGTGTTCCTTATTGTCAAGACAAGGTTTATATGAAAGAAAAATTGGGTCAATTTGGTAGGAAAAGTTGGGAAATTGATCCCAAGGGAAGCAGGGTGAACCGCTACTTAACGTAAAAAAAAATACTACTGACTAAAAGACTAGATTTCAGACGACAGGTGTCGTAAACCATATCTGTAATGACGTCAGAATAAATTACTTTATGTGATCTACAAATCGTTGTTGCGGGTCTGGGTGTGATGTGTATGTGAAATTGTACGTTTGTAATCCACGACACAGGAGAATATCCTAGTGTAGGGCAATATTATAAAAAGATAAGTTGATAATGTCCAAATACTGAAATGCAACTCAATTTGAAGTCCCGCTTAATTATAATAGTGATGATGACGAGGTATGAAAATTAAAAATCGAGTTAGTCCGTCAGTTAGGTAATGAAAGAATATTAGACAAGTATATATTTTTTTATTTTGTTGTATAAGAAAACAATACTTGGATAAAACGACTCAAAGTTTAGAAGATCCGGTAAAACGTCATTTCTACGTATAAACTCCAAGAAGTGACGTCACGCGATGGTATAAATCAATATATCATCGAAAGTATTTGTTTCTGTAAGGAATTAAAAAAAAACGTGTCTAATCATTGGACATTGAAATAAAAATTAGTCATCTACTCTATTCTGTCACTACAATATGACAGAGATAGTGCGATATTTAAGCACAGCTTAAAATTTAGTAGCCTATCAGTAATCGGGCGTATGTGTATGTACCGTGAAATGGACACATTTATTGAAGACCAAACAGTCCTATTCTTTGATGAACTTGAAGTCATATGAGGGGCCAGTGGAATAGCAGCACGAGGCCCTATCTCACACATGCTGAACTGATACCCATTCTAATACAGGCTTGGACATGTATATATAGTCCTCCTTCCCGATTTCGGTAACGGCGACCCTTAATAGCTATCTCCGGTCGTGTGCCCTGATGTGACTGGCCAGACCGAATTTAGTTTTGTAAATCCGATCATAACTAGAGCAGTAAAGCTGGGAAGGGAAAATAGGTAGGTTTAGGCTGTGCGTAATCGCTGCGACCGTGCACGAGGAAGAATCCCTCTGTGGTTCGAAACTAGTATTTTTTGTGGAATTATCCTTTAGGGAACAGAGAGGAAAAGGAGGATCCTCCGACCAAGTGAGGTGATCGTGTCTGGCGGGCTTTCTGCCCAACAGTTGCTCGTTGGGATTTTCTATCCGTGTAAAATCGAATGTAAACTTCGCATGTGCGATGTAGGATTTTATGACGTCATCCGTTGACTTGTGACATGTGTCGCCACAATCCGGCAGCAGACAGATCACGTGATGGTAAGCAATCGGCGTCGCCCAAGGACATCTGGAACTCCAGAGGCGTTACAAGTGTGTTACAAGCCTTTTGGCAGTAAAGAACTTAAGGATTATTGGGGAGCAATTGGGCCTCCGGTAACTTCGCTCACGCGACGAAACACAACGCAAGCGTTGTTTCAGGTCGGTATTCTGCTCGGCCGTGGTATCACTCCGGTCGAGCCGGCCCGTTCGTGCCGAAGCATGGCTCTCCCACACAAGTCCCACGTTAGTAGAGCTTTTCTCAGTATTTTCACAAGAGTTACCCGCGATTTCTAGTTAATATCAGTCTTAAGATTGGAATTCCTACGTAGTCGTGCGTCGGCGTGTTTAGTGAAACAACAAATTGTTGTCGTTGTTCAAAGCTTGCCTAGTAATTGAAAATTACTACGTTGTTTAGTATAAAAACAATGCGTTAATTAGTGTTTTGTTTTAGGTAATGTCAACAATATAACAGCACGCTTTTATATCTTGAGTAGACAGCCAGAGGATCTCGTTGTATGCTAGCTTCACGTCGTTGGCCGAGTGGTCGCATGTAGGAAAAGAATAAACATTTATTTGGCAATTTGGCAAACACACAAAACATAATAACATAACATAACATCACACCTTTTATCCTCGAAGGGGTAGGCAGAGGTGCACATTATACCACTGTACAATGTAACACCCACTTTTCACTATTTATGTTATGAGTCCCATGTAATAGGGGGTGAGCGTATTGCCATATACCGGGCACAGTTCCAGACTCCGTGCTACTACTGATAATTTTTAAAAACCCAGTAATACGTTGCCCGACCCGGGAATCGAACACACAAAACAAAGATTATAAAAAAAAAATACAGATACATAAATAAAATTCTAATAATAAACTTAAAAGATCAGAACAAAATACATCACAGTGTAACAAAATAATAATACGATAGGTAATAACAGAATTTTGAATATACAAAAAAATCAAATAAACAAAATTATAATATTAATTTGAGCATGTTCATGCCAAAAAGGCCTGTGCAACTGCTGCGCAAGGGATCACGGGTTTTATTCCCGCGTCGAGAAAAATATTATTGGGCTTTTTGAAAAATTCTCTATAGTATTATATGGGGCTCTTAACAGAAATATTAAAAAGTGGGTGTTACATTGTACACTGGCATCGAGTGCTGTAATATGCACCTCTGCCTCGTTGGGATAAAAGACGTTATGTTACGAATGTATGTATGTAATTTTTCCCACGTGGTCTTTTTACCCACTGCTACTGCGCGATTGCAATTAGGTATAGCGTGATATTTTATGGCATAACGCCTTTCTCGATAAATATTTATTTATATTTATTTATTTTTTTGTTGACGTTCAATAGTGTCATTCTGGCCTAATCGAAATAAATGATTTTGATTTTGACTTTGACTTTGAATAGCCTAACCTAACACAATGTATTTTTTCAATCAATCGGAGCAGGAGCTCTTCAGATTCGTATGCTAAAAAGCGTTCAATAGAGCATACTTAAAAATAGTAAAAAATCGAGCGCCTATCGATCTTTTTTTTTTATGGGCCCGCCACAACCTCCCAAAACCGCTGCAACTCCTGTAAGCCAGGATCTACAGTAGATACAACCATGCAAACACCGGAACATTGAAGTCCGGCGCGTCTCAGGGACATGAGTAACTGTCTTGGTTCCCGCAACGAAGTGAATCAGAAGATATTATAAGAGGAGAAGAAGAAAAAACTGTAGTTTCCACTTCCCTCGGTGAATTACTGGAGAAGACAGAATGAATTAAGCCTGAAGGCACAAAGAAGAGACTGTACAACTGGGTGAAGCCCAGTCGCCAAGCACCACGAAAATTTGACTAAAAAACTAAGTGGGTCCTATGTGTGAGCTGTTATACTTGCTTCCAATAATAGGTATGGCAAAAGCGCCTAAACGCACGGAAATTTATTCTAGATTCCACAAGGTCCGTATAATAAGCTACACCTGACGAAACAATTAAATTATTCAACATAGTGTTACGTTCATATTGCCAGAGATCGCGCCTATCGATCTGTCAACATACCTGAAATGAGCATACTACTTTTGCCCAACTAGACTTTGTAATTGGACCTCTGGTAACTTCACCCATGTAACATGCCCCACATGCCAACCCGCATTAAGCAAGCGTAATGATTAATCCTCAAACCTTCTCTGTGTGAGAAGAGGCTTTGCTCAGCAGTCGGCACTTATAGGCTGTTGATGATGATAAACCTCACTCACACGATGAAACATAACGCAAGCGTTGTTTCACGTCGGTTTTCTGCTCGGCCGTGGTATCACTCCGGTCAAGCCGGCTCATTCGTGCCGAAGCATGGCTCTCCCACATTAAAAATATAGAGTAGACAAAAGCCAGGCATTTAAAGTAAATATGTCTGAACAAACTCTACCTTTAAGAAAAGCCTTCGAGTCGTCTCTCTCGTCTCTACGTGAGGCCATTAGATAGAGGTTTTAAATAAAAATCCTTATGTTCTGTTTTCTTAACGAAATTGCTTTTCAGCTCTATGTAGAGACGATGTAGAGATATTTTTATGTAGCTATTGTTTTTAGAGAGAAAGGGACGTTATTGAATTGTAATTGTGTTGTTTTGGCTGAAGGGGTAGGCAGAGGTGGTCATATGATTCAGAAAGAAAATATTTTTTATTCATTTCATACTAGCTTTTGTCAGAGGTTTTACTCGGGTTTTTGATATGATATTAAAAAATTCTCAGTAGTAGCACGGAGTCTGTAATTGTGCCCGGTATATAGCAATAGGCTCACCCCATATTACATGAGACTCATAACATAAATAGTGAGAAGTGGGTGTTACATTGTACAGTGGCATAATGTGCACCTCTGCCTATTCCTTCAGGGATAAAAGGCGTGATGTTAAGTTACATAACTTTATCACTTAACACATAAATAATTCCTTTCTGCATTGAAAATGTAAGTCGTTGTATAATGGTACCTTTATCAGTACCCTTGCCTATTTACAGGCTATATCAAAGAATAAGGCTTTCATTACACAATCCTGAAACTAAATAAAACCCGAAGAAGTAAATGAATATTTAAAATTAAAGATTGAATTGAAATCAAATGAAATGCTACGTCGTAGCAGCTACGGCGTAGTAACTACGGCGTAGCAGGCGCCTACGAACGCAGTTTTCGTACGTTTTTGAACATTTATTTGATTTATTCGTAATCTTTTGATCATTGTAATAAAGAATAATAGTATGCTAAGCCTTTTATTCCACAAAGGGGTAGGCAGAGGAGTACATATACAATGTAACACGCATTTTTCACTATTTATTTTATAAGTCCCATGTAATAGGGGGACGAGTCTATTGCCATATATAGGGCACAATTTGTAAATCATATTTTCAAAAATAAACAAATAATAAACATAAACATTGGAGAGGCCTATGTCCAGCAGCGGACGAATACAGGCTGATACGAATAATGATGATGATGAAACAAACTTTGCGAAAGGAGCGATATTTTTAAAATGTCTGCAATGCACTAATCACGCCTCTGGTGTTGCGGGTGTCCATGGGCGGCGCCGATTGCTTACCAACAGGTGATCCGTCTGCTCAAGGATTGAGGAGGATTTGGGGATAGGGAGATTGGGGAGCGGGGGTAATTGATCCTCCGGTCACCTTTGCAAGCGTTGTTTCACGTCGGTTCTCTGTGAGGCCGTGGTATCACTCCGGTCGAGCCGAAGCATGGCTCTCCTACACTTATATGAACTCAAGATTCCTTGGCTATATGTTACTTCAGCGACCATTCAACCATCGAGGCATTCATATTCAAATTTTTGAGTTATCCCAGCGAATTATTATTCATCCCGCAGAATAATAATACATAATATAACATAACATCACGCCTTTTATCCTCAAAGGGGTAGGCAGAGGTGCACATTATACCACTGTACAATGTAACACCCACTTTTCACTATTTATGTTATGAGTCCCATGTAATAGGGGGTGAGCCTATTGCCATATACCGGGCACAGTTCCAGACTCCGTGCTACTACTGAGAATTTTTAAAAACCCAGTAACACTTTGCCCGACCCGGGAATCGAACCCGAGACCCCTTGCTCGGCAGTCGCAATTGCGACCACTCGGCCAACGAGGCAGTCAGAATAATAATATATATTAATTATACGAAATTTTAATATAATTACTATCTAAACGGAATATTTTTTCATTAATATCTGGTTCAAAGTACTTTTCAAAACGATATAACTGAACATGCGAATATCAACCTTATCTCTTTGACGATTAAATCGATTTTTATCTGCTATAAAAGGTAATAAAAGCTAATGTTTTAGTTGCAGTTGAATTTAAGCGGTGAGTGAACGGAATATGGTCCACATTTGTATGAATATGAAAGCAATAGATGGTTTTGAAACAGCATTTTTGTGGGTAATGAAATTTGAACTATGTGTGATAGTAATAAAGTGTATTATCGCTAACATTGTGGAAGGCTATTAAAATTTTATCTTCTCATATTCAGTGTAGTGACCGCAGATCAGATCTGTCACCACCTTGACACTTCCCGCGGGTGTCGTATACCGTATTGGGAGATTATATATTTATATTTGCGACTGCCTCGTTGGCCGAGTGGTTGCAAGTACGACCGGGCAAGGGGTCTCGGGTTCGATTCCCGAGTCGGGCAAAGTATTATTGGGTTTTAAAAAAAATCTCAGTAGTAGCACGGAGTCTGGAAATGTGCCCGGTATATGGCAATAGGCTCACCCCCTGTTACATGGGATTTCATAACATAAACAGTGAAAAAGTGAGTGTTACTTCTGTGTGCACCTCTGCCTACCCCTTCGGAGATAAAAGGCGTGATGTTATGTTATAAACACTAATCCGTGATAAGCCACAATCAAAGCCATTGCATGCTATCAAACGCTTAACAAAGAAATATACTCTAAAACCATACTTTCAACCCTAATTTCTATATACTAAAGTCCATATTCACATGTGCTGTTTAAGCATCTGTGAAATGGCATTTGAATTTGAGCTGTAAATGTGAAGTGTGTAGGTACATTTTGGTCTGTAGTTTTAGAGTTCATTGACTTGATTGTATCTTTTATTGTCTGATTGTTGAATGTAATGATAATAGGTACATATATTGATAAATCTGTACGTATGAATGTTTGTTTGTTTTGTGTTAAAGAAGGTAGAGGTGCAGGTGATTAGTATTATAGTGTGACTCGGAAATCAAACGTGGACCTATGTGTTACAATAAGAATTTTCAAAGACTACAAGAAGCTTCAATAGTAAGTACTTTGTCTGGCCCGGGAGTCGGAGTCAAGACATGGGTCGAGTGACTTAGTGAATGAATTCACTGCTTCATCAACAGCCTATAAATGTCCACTGCTGAGCAAAGCCTCTTCTCACACAGAGAAGGTTTGAGCATTAATCACCATGCTTGCTCAATGCGGGTTGGCGATTACAAACTTATAATTAGAAATTATAAGCCCAGGTTTCCTCACGATGTTTTCCTTCACCGTTTGTCAGTGGTGTCTAGATAATCTTAGAAAGTACATACATATAACTCGGAAAAAGTCACATTAGTCCTTGCCGTTGGTAGGTTTCGAATCCGCACCCTCATGCATGAGAAGCGGGCGTCTTAAACCTCCGGGCCACCACGACCGCTATTGACTACTTACTAAGTAGTAAATTCATTTATTTACGACAACAAATTATGATTGCACGGTTGGTGCGTTGACTGGGCAACTCGCTGCCGCGCAACGTGTCGCGGGTTCCATTCCCGCACGGAAAAACTCTTTATGTGATCCACAGATTGTTGTTCCGGGTTTGGGCGTCATGTGTATGTGAACTTGTATGTTTGTAAACGCACACACGACACAGGAGATGATCCTAGTGTGGGGCAACCTTTAAAAAAAACTATTCAATAGTACATTATGCCGTATGTCGACAATTAGTAGACCAGAATACATTTTGTCACTAACTTAATTCTTATTAACGGGTGGTCGTATGAACCGGTCCGCGTTCTCGTAAACGTTGCCCCATAATAGGATCATCTCCTGTGTCGTGGGTGCGTTTACAAACATACAAGTTCACATACACATATTACACACAGACCCAGAACTATAATCTGCGGATCACATAAAGAGTACTTCAAAGTCAAAGTCAAAGTCAAAGCATTTATTTCAATTAAACCATAGTTTGGTACTTTTGAAACGTTAACAAATACAAAATAAATAATAGTCTGTCAGTCAGTCCGTCAGTGAAACTAGGTGAAGCTAGGTGCTCATTCCAAAAAGTAGATTCGAATGGAGAAGAACGAGCAAAAAACTACATTCGTTACTCTTTTTAAAAAAGTATGTTCTACAATGTCTCTGATACATATTTCAATACTGTACGCATATGTAAGAACAATGCAAAGACACGCTTGACGCATTATACTAATAACTTACTAAAATTAAAAAAAAAATAAAAAATTTTAAAGTCCAACATGGTGCTCACATATGCGTTCGAACCTAGGACCTATACATGAACGCGGGCAAAACCGCTGGCAAAAACTAGATTGCGATAGTAGTAAGACTTTGGTCTACTACTGCCCATACCCAAGATAATAACTGCTAAAGGCCAGTTTATGCTCCCAAGGTCAAACTCCCTCCAAGGAGGATGTAATTCAATAAATTATGGCGCGATGAGATCACGAAGGATGCCAAGGCGCTTATTATTGCTATGTAGTTCATTGTCGAAGGTTAGAGACTTAATCTTATGATGAATGGTGCTTTATATTCCCTGAGGGAGTAGAAAGATGAAATAAAGAAAGAGAAAGAAAATTTATTTATTTGCCACGCCTAAGTACGCGAACATGAAATAACAATAAAAAAACAGTAAGAAACAATCAAAACTATACAAAAGATAATAAAAATAACAAGAAGGTGGCAACATGCCCATGACAAAAGGGCTTGCAATTCAGTACGAGTGGACACAATAAGTACCCAATACTGGTTTTCAGTTCCCTTACGGTGACGCACGGGCGAAAGCAACGAAAAAAGTGTTTTTTACAGCATAAGCCAGTAAACGAGCAAACGGATGACCTGATGGTAAGCAATCGGCATCACCCATGGACACCTGGAACACCAGAGGCGTTACAAGCGCGTTACCGGTCTTTTGGGGATTAGGAGTTTGAGGATCGTTGGGGATTCGAGGATTGGGCAGATTGGGGAAGGGGGGAGAGTAATTGGGCTTTTAGTAACCATGAGAGAGAGCCACGCTTCGGCACGAATGGGCCGGCTCGAACGGAGTGATACCACGGCCGAGCAGAAAACCGACGTGAAGCATCGCTTGCGTTGTGTTTCGTCGTGTGAGTGAGGTTACCGGAGGCCCAATTACCCTCCCTTTCCCAAACTCCCCAATTCCTGAATCCCCAATGATAGTCAAACTACAAATCCCTAGAAGGCCGGTAACGCACTTGTAATGCCTCTGGTGTTCCAGGTGTCAATAATAATAATGAAAATAAAAATATAATTAAAAATTATAAGCCCAGGTTTCCTCAAGATGTTTTCCTTCACCGTTTGTTAAATAATCTTAGAACGTACATATAACTTGGACACAGTCACATTGGTACTTTGCCGTTAGTAGGTTTCGAACCCGCACCCTCATACATGACAGGCCTGAATAGTGTTTTAAATAATTGGGTAGATGGCTAATTTTTATTTTAATGTCCGTCTGGTAGATTATTCTAAAACATTATTTACATTAAAATAAAAATTAGGCATCTACCCAATTATTTAAAACACTATTTAGGCCTGTCTAATGAGACACGTATTTTTTATTTTCTTACAGAAACGAATACTTTCGACGATATATTGATTTGAAATGTCGCGGGACGTTACTTCTATGTACATTTTATACGTAGACTTTGATTCGTTTTATCTAAGTATTGTAAAGAATAAAAAATATACGTGTCTAATATTTTTTCATTACGTAACTTACGGACTAATTAGATTTTTAATTTTCATACCCTGTCATCATCCCAATTGTATAAAAATGTAGATATTAATGTTACGTAAAGACACAAAATTACAAGATATATAAACTACATAATTCTGTTACAAAATTCATGTAAAGTTATTCTAAAATTTAACTTGACTAACTTAAACGGTTTTGCGGTTAAGTTACTAACCGAAGTTTAATTCCACTAGCCGAAATGTTGAAATTATGTTAAGTTACATCAAAAAGCCTTCGCAACCACTTTTAGGACGGAAAGGGCTAAAATTATCTTATTAGATCACTATATAGAGGTATAATCTTATAATAATTATACTATACAAACTCCGGCCACCGTAAGCGCGGGCCTGCAGACGGCGAGCATGGATGGCTCGCCGCTCGACCAGAACCAGACCCGAGCGTACGGCGCGCGCCTCAAAGAGCCATCAGACCACTACGGATAGGGCCCAATAGGGCTGATGCTGATACGGAGCCGCGGTGAACTTAACGGGTTACCGGGGCTCCGGCTCGAAGTGCAGGAGTAGCAACGGGGTGGTTTTTAGTCAGTAAGAGTCTGACACTCCCTCTCGCCTCACCCGGGTGGGAGAAATCATTCGATGATTTTCTCTCCTTAATAAAAAATACTGTACTTATAGTACAGTATTATATAAAACTAAGGAGTTGGTCAGTTTGTTTGAATTTCGACTGTTCAGTACAATAAAATAATAAAAAATAATCACACTTTAATTAATTGATTTCATGACCAACTTAATTTTAGTATTTTTCCAGAAAATTTTTACAAACAAATAAAATATGCTGTTTGACGCATAAAAAAACGTGACGTCACAATAAACAATATCCAACAAAATTTATAGAAAACTGTCGTTTTTGAGAGTTCGAAAAAAGTATTGAATTTGACTAGTCGGCAAGTACCCTAGCCTATACTTCGCTGCAATTAATAAGCTAGACTATTAAAGCATCGAGAGTCGATATTGAAG